TTTCTCACTGCAGGCGCCTTTCCCTGCTGCTTCCCTTCCTTGCCTCTGCCTCCCCCCCCCCCCCCCACTTCTTCTTACCCCCCTGCCCCCCTCAGGAGCGCCCGAAGAGCCTCCTGCCCGCGCTGCTGCCCGCTGTGCAGAGGTCGCCTGCTGCAGCAGGTGCTGCCAGGCACCCTGCCCTGCCCTAGCAGGGACCCCTCCCGCGGTGGCCCGTCCCCACCCAGCGCCACAAACTCCAGCCTGCTCCGGGGCTGGCTGCGGCCTGTCCTGGCGTCCCCGGGATGACGGGGAGCAGGCAGTGAAAGGGCCTCCTTGTCCCAGCAAGGCGGTGGGCGGATGGAGGGGGCTGAATGGGGCCAGTGTGTGCCAGGAGGCGGCTGGGGGCCGGGGGGTTGCGGGAGGGGGGTTGTCGCTTCCTGCCGCTGCGCCAGGCTGGGAGAATGAAACCTGAAAGTCATTGTGAGTGGGGCAGCTGGGGGCCATGGTGGGGAGGGGGACACAGCTAGCCCAGCAGGGCCTGGCTTCCCCGGGGAGGGCAGCGTGAGCTCGCCTGCCTGCCTGCCTGCTTGAGAGCAGCGTGTCTGGCAGGGGCGGCAGGAAGGTGCTTCCCAGCTCGGCTGTCCTGGCTGGGACTGGCAGTGTGGTGGGGTGCCTGGTGGGCCGTGTCCCCACTAGAGCTGGGGTGTGCAGCCCCGTTTCCCTCTTTTAGCTGTGCTCAGCCTTTTGCGAGCCTCTGGCTTGAGCCAGGCTGGCTGGCTTATGGGAGCGGAGGGTCTCAGGTTGGGGGGGACCTCAGCAGAGCACTCTGCTGTGCCTCTGGCCCAAGCATAGCAGCAGCCAGTGCCACTGGGTTGATGTCTTGCGTGTGTGGTTGAAGCCTGGGAGCAGTTCCTGCAGAGGAACCAAGGTCGGCGCTGTTGGGGAGGACAGGGAGGGTGCGGGTGGGGTGCAATGCCCTGGGGCCAGATGTTCTCTTCCTCCTGCAGGACCCGGTACATCAGTACAGAACTGGGGATGCGGCAGCGGCTCTTCGTGGGTGTGCTGACCTCCAAGAGCACGCTGAACACGCTGGGGGTGGCTGTCAACCGCACGCTGGCCCACCGCCTGGAGCGCCTGGTGTACTTCACAGGCACCCGGGGCCGCAAGGTGCCCCACGGCATGACGGTGGTGACGCACAGTGATGAGCGGCCCATCTGGAACATGTACCAGACCATCAGGTACCTTCTGGACCACTATGTGAACGACTTCGACTGGTTCTTCCTGGTGCAGGACGATACCTACACGGAGGCGCACCGCATCAACCGCCTGGTCGCCCACCTGAGCATCGACACCCACCTCTACCTGGGCCGTCCCGAGGAGTTCATTGGCGGGGACACTGAGGGACGCTACTGCTACGGGGGGTTTGGCTACCTGCTGTCCCGCAGCCTCCTCCTGCTCCTGCAGCAGCACCTGGAGAGCTGCCGCAATGACATCCTCAGCGCCCGGCCTGATGAGTGGCTGGGCCGCTGCATCATCGACTACACAGCTGTCAACTGTGCCGAGGAGCACGAGGTAGGTTCTGCAGCAGAAATGGCCTCCGAGAGCCTGATCCTGGCCTGGTGTGTTTGCCCGCCTCCCTGTGGGCTCCCAGGTCCTGGGGGGACCAGCCGTTGCACCCTGTTGTCCTTTGAGCTTGCTGTGCTGGCAGCTGTTGGGGTGGGAGCGCGGGTCGGGGCTGGCTGTGACCCATCTCTCCTGCCTGGCGCAGGGCTTGCGTTACCACTATTTTGAGCTGGGGAAGAATGCAGACCCCGAGCGGGAGACCGACCTCCGTTTCCAGAGCGCCTTTACCGTCCACCCCGTGCTGGATCCCCTCCAGATGTACCGGCTGCACAAGTACTTCGCGCAGATGGAGCTCGAGAGGACCTACCAGGAGATCCAGCAGCTCCAGGTGAGACCTGACTTGGCTGGGAGGGTCTGGGCTCCTCTGGCCTCCCTGTGGGCTTTCTGGTTGCTCTGTGTCACCTCTCCACTTTAATATGAGGGTTTCTCACCTGAACCTGCTGTGGGATGGGGTGAGCTGAGCCCGTGTGGCTGCAGGGGCAGCAGTGTTGGCTGGAGAGCAGCTTTGGACCTGGACAGGTCCTGCAGCTGCTGTGGTGGTTCAAGGTGATAGAGCCAGCAGGGTGCTGAGGTCTGCCAGCAAAGGCCAGGCAGGGTGGGAGAGAACATGGGTCCTGCTGATAGAGGTGGTGTGCCACATTCGGGGTGCTGTTTTGAGGAAACCTGAGGTGCTGGACAGGAGTCAGGCTGAAGGCAGAGTTGTTCTGGCACTGCTCTTTGGGCCAGGAGTGGCTGATCTCTGAGTATCAAGAGTCAGCTTGCCTGCAGCCAGAGCTGGAAGACCTACTTTTGCTCGCCTTCGCTCTCACTCCTCCATCTCTCTTGCAGCTGGAGATCCAGAACGCCAGCAGCCTGTCTGCTGATGGGGACCATGGTGCCACATGGCCTGTTGGCATCCCGCCCCCCTTCCAGCCCAAAACCCGCTTCGAGGTGCTGCGCTGGGACTACTTCACAGAGGAGCAAGTCTACGCCTGTGTGGATGGCTCCCCCAAGTGCGAGCTGCGTGGCGTGGATCTGGCAGACGTGGCCGACGTGGTGGCCATGGCCATGGAGGAGCTGAACCGCAAGTACCAGCCGGTGCTCCACGTCCGCAAACAGCAGCTGGTGAATGGGTACCGGCGCTTCGACCCCACGCGTGGCATGGAGTACACGCTGGACCTCCAGGTGGAGGTGGTCACCCAGAAGGGGCACAGCCGCTCTGTCACCAAGCGCGTGCACCTGGTGCGGCCCCTCAGCGAGGTGGAGATCATCCCCATGCCCTATGTGACGGAGGCCAGCCGCATCAATGTCATACTGCCACTGACAGCCCACGACCGGGACCACGCTGCCCGCTTTTTGGAGGCTTATGCGGCGGCCGCCTTTGAGAGCAGTGAGAATGCGGTGCTCACCTTCCTCTTCATCTATGACCCTTTCGAGGCTCAGCAGGTCACCCAGAATGACATCTTTGCCCCTGTGAAGGCCCAGATCACTGAGTATGAGCGCAAGTATGCAGAGGTGAAGATCCCGTGGATCAGTGTTAAGACAGATGCACCCTCCCAAATCAAGGTCATGGACATCATCTCCAAGAAGCATCCTGTGGACACGCTTTTCTTCGTGGCCGGCGTGGGGACAGAGGTCACCGTTGACTTCTTGAATCGCTGCCGAATGAACACCATCAACAACTGGCAGGTCTTCTTCCCCATCCACTTCCAGGGCTACAACCCCGCCATTGCCTACCACAACCAGGTGCCGCCCGCCACACTGGACCTGCTGCGTGATGCGGGGCGCTTCGACCGTGACGTCTTCCACGAAGCCTGCTTCTACAACGCTGACTACATGGCAGCACGCACCCGCATGGCAGGTGATGTGCAGGAGAATGAGGACATCCTGGAGACCCTGGACATCTACGACATGTTCATCAAGTACTCCAACCTCCACGTCTTCCGGGCTGTGGAGCCTGCCCTGCTGCAGCGCTACCGACACCAGGCCTGCAACCCCCGGCTCAGCGAGGAGATCTACCACCGCTGCGTGCAGAGCAGCCTGGAGGGCGTAGGCTCTCGCTCCCAGCTGGCCATGGTGCTTTTCGAGCAGGAGCAGGGGAACAGTACCTGAATCCCAGGGCACGGAGGGGCTGGCCCTGCCCTGCCGTGCCTGCCTGCCCACCCCACCTCTTCTGCTGCCCAAATCAGTCTTCCTCCTCCCAGTGGCTGCAGGGATCGCCGGTGCCTGAGCTTGTGACTTGGGCCCCTGGGGCTGCCTGGGCCGGGGTCTGCCAGCCTGGGGTGTCCGGGTCCTTCTGGAGCAGCTGCAGCTGTGCAGACCCCGGGGCGAGGTGGGGTTGGAGTCACCGAGCTGCGAGATGGAATGCCCAGCTCCTCACCCCAGAGCTGCTGGCCACTGGCACCACCCCTCTGTCCTGGCCTCGCTGCCTGGTGGGGAGGCGATGGCCTGCCCTGTCCCTTGCTGTCCCCCCTTGACCGGGGGCACGCAGAGACCAAGCTCCTCCCTGCTGCAGGGCTGTGACTGCCACGGGTCTGGGGGTGATCCCTCATGGTTCCCCCAGTACCCTGGGACAGGGCTGTGCCCCTCACTCCTTCGGAGCATCAGCCCGGCCATGCAGGGAGGGCCATGTCCCTGTGCCTGCCACAGGATTGGACAGCGGGATGGAGCACGTCCCACCCCAAAAAAGCAATAAGGAGGTTGGTTTCAGGGTTTTGCCACTTGGCAGCGAGCCGGAGTGCTCCCAGCTGGTCAGGGTGGGGGGGACTTGGCCCCCAGGGCTGGTGGGCGCAGGGGGTGCCGGAGGGCATCCTGCTGTATTCACATACCATGAGCTGCTCCCCATGGGAACCGTGACCCAGGCCGCTTTGGCCTTCGCAGTATCGATAGGACGTCGGAGGTTGCAGCCCTCAGACGAGAGCCTCCAGACGGAGGTGAGAGCCCTCCCCACCACGGGGCCACCCTCGGGGTTGGGGGACATGGTGCCCAGCACTGGTGGGCACAGCAGAGGGTGTGGCTGCGCATCTCCTAAGGAGAAAGCGACTGAGGAGCCGCTCTCTGCTCCTGGTTTGTATTTAATAGTGGGGGGGGGTGGGGGTGCATTTACACTAATAAAACAGAGAGATGAACCAGTGGGTGTAGCTAGTTCTTCCCTGGGGCACCTCTGGGTATCCCGCTGGGGGTCTGTGTGGTCGTAGCTGCTGGCTGCTTGTACAAAATCTGGCTGCAGCTGGCTGGACTGCTTTCCCCAAGCTGCCTGCAGCATCCTCTACCTGAGCTGGGAGATGACTGCCTCTCCTTAGTGAGGCCTGGGGGAGCCTATCGGCATATGGACAGGCTGGCAGGTGCTAGGCCAAGCAGACGCTTGGAAATACCAGCTTGAACCCCTGGGGGCTTGCAGCAGGAGTCCTGGACCTCCTCTGATGCCTGCTGTCCCTGGGGCCATCGTGCTGTCACTACCTGCTACCAGTCACTGGTGGTGCAGCAGGATGCTGAGCCTCTTGCCATGGGAAGCCCAGGTGCCTGTGTGCAGTGTGCTGAGCAATGCCCTGTCTTTCCTGGTGCCATAAATTCATGGTCCCACTGATGAGGTTTCCAGCCCTCCTCAGGCCCAGCTGCAGGTGGAAAAGCACTGCAGTGAGCAGCTGGTGCAGCCGTGTCCACGTGTGCTGTCCCTATAACAGCCTTCGTGGGCCGTACGTGGGTAATGGGGAACTCCTGGCCCACATCAGAGCAGAGGTTGGGTGCCCAAGTGGGGTGAGCTCTGCCTTCCAGCATCTGGGATCAGCTCTGAAGGAAACTCCAGGACCAGAAACCGTATCTGAGCACTGTGTTGAATCATTAGGGCTGAACCTGCCCTTTCTGTGTTGGTTTCACCCTTTTGGGGGCTGTTTTGCATCTCAGGGTTTCTCAGCATCTTGTGGTTTCCAGTTCTGGGTCAGGCGGAGCAGCATACTCCCGCCCTGGACTGTTTCACCACCTACAGCTCCTATCTGCAGTATGAGATAGCAGGGACTGTGTCCCCTGCCTGTGCTGTCTGCTCCAGGCATGATTTTCACGCCTCTGTGTGCTCTTCCCACTAGCCCTTTGGTCATCACATTTTACTTGTTCACGAAACACACGTATCAAAGAGACATCCCCAAGAAAATTAACTGAACCTACTTGCTGTTAGTTATCAGGGCTGTTAGTGCTCAGTGAAACTCATGGAAAGCCCCTGGGCTGTGGCATGCCTTCCCCAAAGATACCTCATTCATATATTCCTGCTCCAGTCTTCATATCCACGGCGTAGGAGCATATCTGTTTAAATATAGTTTTATTATATTTCAGATGATAACTGTTAGCTTGCTCTGAGTATTTCTGGTTTTGATCTTCCCTGAGCACATCCTTAATTCCCTTCAAATGTGAATCTGGGACAGAGGGAGTGAGGTGGATGCAGGTCCATTACAGATACATTTCTCCTCTGAAATGCAGACCTAGGAGTTGCTTGTGATTAGGTGTTAAATGAGTATCCAAATGGTAATAAAGCAAACCAGCTTCAAATCAAGTTGGCTGTGAAAAGAAACCCAGAATTGTCATTTAATTGTCGCAAGATGGTCTAGAGTCGCTCTTGCCTCCTCATTGCTGTTTGCCCAGACTGAGTTAGAGCTATTTGCATACTTAATGCTCTGCACTATCAACACCAGCGAAGCCCCCCCTGCTCCGACGTATATACAAGCAAATGACAGTGCTCATGGCTCTCCCAGCACAGTTATTGCTCCCTTTTAAAAGGAGCTGTCAGGGTTTGAAGCCGCTTTGGTGTTTGCCAGGTTATTTGCAGCGTCAAAGCATGCTGAAACCCTGGGGAGGGATGCGCAAAGCTTCGGGAAGGGGTTTGGTGCCAGGAGCGGGCTGGCCTGCTTCACCACGGCCCGGAACAACCTTCCTGTGCCTGGGTGAAGTAAATGGGCTCGCTGGGCAATGGCAAAGACCTGTGTGACGATGGGGACATGGGCACAACCGCGCTCTGCCCCCCTCCTGCCCACGCAGGGCTGGCAGGTGCAGGCAGGGCACTGGACTGGGATGGTGACACTCTTGAAAGAGGCAGGGAGGAGCAGCCCGGGTGCTGAAGTGGGCGGCTGAGCCGACAGGGACTTTTCTGCAATCCCTGTCAGATTTGACTGGTACTTCCATACAATGTGTGGATTTTTGCACAGACGCAGTTGCAGAGGCAGAGCAGCGAAAGGGCAATTTTCCCAATGGGGCATGAGAAAACACGTGACTGCTGCCCATAGACTTACACTTCCCTCGAGAAAATTTTCTAAAAGCATTACTGGCTCACCACAGCCTTTGAGAAGCATAATGCAAGTTCCTCTTGGGGAGTTGTTTGGAGGAGGGCGCAAAGGGCCAGTTCAGAGCAAAGCACTCTGAAACAGGAGAGGGGCTGGCTGGGTGCACCGGGGCTGGGTGGGCACCTGCCTCCCCTCTCCTTCCTGCACCATGGCAAAGAAAGGGACTTAAACTGGAGAAAACCCAAGCTGCTGCTCTGCTGTTCTGCCCCCCTGCAAATTTGCTCCCCCGTACAGTCATGCAGGCACCTCTCTGCAAATGTAGCAGTGAGCTTGTGAGCAGGGAAGGCAAAACCTGCTTCTCTAGTCCTGCTTGTGTCACTTCTGGCTGCGCTAAATCCCATGGCAGTTCCTTCAGCCCTGGCAACGTTAATCAGCTCGATGGCTGATGTTTGGGAGGATGTAGGAAGTGCGGCAGTGCCAGGAGAGGGCTGGAGGGCAAGGGGAAGCACAGTAGTGCCCTTTTGTCCCTGTGCTTTCGTTGGGAAGCGGCCAGCAGTGCCCCGCTGCCTGTCCTACAGGAGCAGCTCTGCCAGCCACAGAGTGGGACCCAACCCCGGCAAACATTTCCTCCTGGCTACAAGCGAAGGCAGGAGAAACTGCTCTGCTTAAGGAGGAGCAGGCAGGGAGATGCTGGGCTTTGCCTGCACCCAATGCCCTAGGTCATAGCCCAGTGCGCTGCCGAGCCCCTCTGGAGGGTGCTGGGGACTTTGGCCAGGGGTTTTTCTGGCCAAGCTCAGGGAAATCAGAGCCTTTCAATGAAGAGGGAAACTGCTGGTAGCTGTAAGTGCAGGCAGTGCTGCTGCTGGTGTGTGCCTGCCCACGGGGGTTTCCCTGCACCGGGGTGACAGCACACCCAGCTATTCCCCGGGGACGTCCCCTCCGGGGACGCAGAGCCCCATCACAGACAGACTGCAGGAGTCTGAATCTCTGGGGCTGGGGGGAGAGGCAGGCAGCTTAGTTGGATTTTTATTTTAATTGCCTTGGGTTTTTTTCCAGCTTGCTTGCCTGCTGTCAGGAGCTGGAAAAGCACTGGAAAGCAAGGGCTGTGTGTCCCCTGCCTGGCCCCACCGATGAGCACCACCGGTCCATTTTCCCAGCAAGGAGGTTATGGGGAAACAGCCAGGAGCAAAGCAGCGAGCTTGGCATGCTCAGGTCATCAGGAGATGCTGAGGTTCACTCCTTTCTCCAGGTATTGCCTGTCACCACCAGCATCTCCGGGCAGGAGGCACTTGGAGAGGAGGTGACAGCAGCAAGGCCACATGTCCCATTGCACTCTGGGGCTCACTTCCAGCCCCTCTGCTCCCAAGCTGGATGTTTGTTTTCTTTGAAATGCAGCTTTTCCCTGGGAACAGCTGTAATTGCAGTGTGTGGCAGTGGAGGCATGCCGGAAAGTGCTCGAGGAGATGCCCATCCCATGGGCAGAAGGGATCTTCGCCAGCTGCTCCATCCTGGTGCCCCCTCCCTGGCCCCGGCACCACATCCCGCAGGAGCAGAGTCTGCTGGGGTTGTCAACTCCACTGGTGACAGGGGCCGTTGCCAGCACAGCCAGTCCTGCCACAGTCAGGTGCCTGGCGTTTGTCCAGAGGGCTGCACTTGTTAAAATTAAGGGCCCGCTTCACTATAGTGGATCCCCTTCTAATTATGCCCCAGCTATTATTTCATGTGGCTCATTACAGGCAATTCAAGCAGCGTTGGGCTGGGCTGACATTGCTTTGCAGCCCAGCGAGCCCTGGGTGGCAGTGGCCCCGTCCCTGGGGAGGAGCAGACACCTGGTGGCCCTTGGATGGATGCAGCGTGGGAGAGGGCGCGCAGGAGCCACCGCGCTGGGGTTTGGGTCTGGCCCTGGGGTGCTAAATCTGGGTCATCCCACTGGTTGTCCCCAGCCCAGCGCCATCTGCACTGGGACATCAGGCATGGCACAGGCAGGGGGGGATGCTGGGCTCACCTCACCTGCCTGTCCTGTTTGGAGGTGGTGGGAGACAGGTATCATCTCTAGGTGCCACCAGAAAGTTGCCAAATTAAAGAACAGAGGTGCTGAGAGCAACTGATAAAAATAACTTTACATCACGTCTTCACTAGGTCACCACTACAGGGCTCCTTGGACCCATCCTGAGGCCACTCAGCCTTTCCTTCAGCCATGCTTCACTCCTGCTCCTCCAAAATCACCTTTATTTTCCTGTAGGCATAGGATCTGGCTTTGAGGGTTTTTTTTCCAGAAAGCCACTTGCCAGATCTGGGAGATGAGGCACCGGAGCAGCATCTTGGTGAGCTACGCCCAGCCCTTGCTGTCCCCGGCCAGCACCACCACGACCTTCGGGTTTTGTGTCAGGACCTGGTCCTTCCTCAGCATGTCCTCCAGCACCTGCAGCGCTGGGCACTGGACTCGCTGCATGATCCTGCTCTCCTCCTCCCTCAGCTCCTCCGACATGTCTTCACTGCGGAGCAGGAGGCAGCACGAGTTCCCAGTCACGGCCTTGGTGTAGATGAAGGTGGCTTTGTGGCAGGGCATCCTGGAGGGGCAGATGGGTCAGGGCCTGGTGGCAGGGACAGCCTTGTCCCAAAGGACCCCCAAAGGACCTGATCCTCTTACCAGGTGATGAAAAGATGTGGAGGATGTAGCTGTTTCCCTGCTTTTCCCTTTAGGTCCTGACCCCAGTGCTCCCCTTGCAGGGCATGGTGTGAGCTGCGGGATGGGATCCTGTGTCCCAGCTGCACCCAGCTAACCTGGGCATCTTCAGCCCTCACTGGTTTAGAGGGAAACCTGCGGTGCCCGGTGCTGGCAGCCTCCACTGTGAGGCCAGAGCCTGTCTCCCACTTTGTCCCTTCTCTGTGCTGCAGGGTGGCCAGGGCAGATGGAGAAGGGTCTGGAGAATTCAGGAGCACCTCTGGCAGGGAAAGCCCCAGGGCCCTGTGCCAGCAGGGCCCCTCTTTGCCCCCCCCCCATCCTCCACCTGCCCCGTTTCGGTTTCACCCTGTACCCCTTGCCCATGGCACCCGTAGGGGGGGTCCTGCTGGAGGTCCCACCCTGGGACAGCTGATGGTACCCCTGCGATCTCGCTTGCGCCGTGCCCCCTGCCAGGGGGCCGGGGCTCATGGCCCACAGCGGGTGCTGGACGAGCAGACAGCTGCTGGCACCATGCTGGTAATCCTGTGTGAGGCCAGTGCCAGTATACGCACCGGGCTTTAACTGGGCTGTGTGTGGTGCTGGTAACAGGCATGGGAGCAGAGGGGCCGTGGGTATGGCAGGGGGGCATCCCACAGGCAAGTGGGTCCTGCGCAGGGTCCTGGGTGTTGGCAGGGGTGTGGGGTGCTGCTCCAGCATGGGGCATCTGTGGAGCACCCCCAAAGCACTCCCAGCCCATGTTTCTGCCCTCCCATCTGCTCCCCACCCTGCAGCAGCCCCCAGGGGGGCAGGAGCCCGTCCTTCCCACCTCAACACCTACTGGGGACTGATAGAGCCTGGTGGGCCACTGGTGGGGTGCCTGCCCTCACCCGGGGAGCGATTTGAGGACTGGGGTATGGCTCTGGCAGTTCCCACTGCTGGTGCCCAGCTGGCAACCACCGTACCTCTGCCACATGCCGGGGCTGAAAGAGCTGAGTGGCAGGCAAGGTTTTCTGTGGGCAGCGATGCAGAGATGCTTGCCTTTGGGCGAGCTAGCATGCTGGCTCTTGCAGTGCCCAGCATGTGGGTGCAGGGCTGTAAAGTGCTCCCTGGGTCCCACCACCACCTGCCCCCGGGGTGGGACCAGCTTCCCCACCTCTCTGCAGCCCCCCAGCCCTGCCTCCTGCCCCCAGCCCTCACAGGCAGCTCCGGACCTACTTGTGCCTCTTTATTAGGGAGCATTTGTACATTTATAAAACAGTGATGCACATCTCTCACGTTCACCAGCACGAGGGCATTCGCACCAGCCCTCCCGCCGTGGTGCCCGTGCCCACCCCACTCAGGGCTCGCTGCTCCCGCTGGCAGGGAGGGAGCCACATCCTGCATCCCCCTGCCCACTGCAGGAGACCTTGGTGTAGGGCTGACTTGCGTGGCCGTGGCACATCCCGGGCTAATGTGTGGCACCCCTCTGGGGACACTCCTGCTTGCAGGTGGGGGCACCCCATGGGGACCTGACACGGGGTGCTTTGGAGGGGGTCCCCGAGGAGCACCTCTGTGCCTGCCCTGCTGGGAGGCTTGCTGTGTGTGTCCCCATGCAGGGGGACACGGGACACCATGCAGCTGGGTGCTTGCACTGACAGGGAACGTGTTTCCACCTGGGTGCATATTTTGGGGGGCCGTTGGGCTGCGGATAGCCAGAGCCAGGGCTGCCGGGCACATCATCAACCTGGTACTCCGGTCCCTGCCCTGCGTCACCCACGTGTGGAGCCTTGGGTGCTGCAAAGATGATGGCCCCTCCTGCATCTATGGCTTTGGCCACAGCGCAGCATGGCCGTGTTCCGTCTGCAGGTGCCGGGGATGGGGACTAAACTGGCAGGGCCAGGGGCTGCCTGGCTAAACCCCAGCCTCCCCCAGAGGTCCCAAATTCCTGCCCTGGAGTCCCCCTCTCTGCCGCATGTCTGTGTCGAGGGGGGCTTTGCCAGCCCGCCCCCCCCCCTGAGATATTTTGGGGCGGTTTGCCCTGCGCTGGTGTCTGCTACAGTGGAGGGGGAGGAGGCACTGTCCGACAGGACAGGGGGAGCGATGTGGGTCCTGCTGTGGGTCCTGCCGTGGGTCCTGCCATCTCGGGGCAGGCAGGAGGGCTGTGGGTGTTGGTCCTGGCCGAGGCTCCGGCCGGCGGGTCAGGCTGTGGCTGTCCGGGCGGTGCTGGGCACGGGGGACCCTCCTAACCATGTACAGTCTGGGGGAGGCACAGCGGGTGCTCAGCACCCGGGGGGTGGGAGCGTGGCAAGGGGTACGTGCATGGTGCAAAAGAGTGGCGACAGGCAAGGGAGCGAGGGAAGGACCCCCAACCCGCGCCGCCTGGGCTGTGCCGGGCGGCTGCACCAAGGGACAAGCCGCTTCGGGCAATACCTGGGTAAGGAGAGGACGGGGAGGGCTGGGGGCGCACGGTGGATTGGGGGCAGGAGATGGGGGAGGCAGTAGGTTTGCAGTGCCGCAATGACTGGGGGCTATCGGGGGTCAACACTGGAGGGGGGGGGGTCACAGTGCAGGGGTCTGGCTGGAAACAGCAATGGGGAGGGGGGCCGCAGCCCTGGCAGGCTGCACGAGGTTGGGGAAGGGGGGGCAG